CCCCTTTCCCTTCCTCTCTCTCTCTCTCTCTCTCTCTCTCCCCAATTTCGCCCGTATCAATCATCAAAATGTTAACGGTAAAAATTATTTTCCAGATTCTTTTAATCCTTCGTTTAAATAATTCGTTCGATCAAAGAAAAAAAAAAAAAGAATGTAAAATAACAATCGAGGCAATCAAAATTGCTATTCTATTCTCCAAACTACTTCTCCAACGATTTTCTTCGAAAGTTTCGAAAAAAAAAAAAGCGCTCGATTGTTTACTACGATTGATTCGCGGGACGAAAAGCGGGTATCGATCGATACTCGCTCGACTCGATTAAACGGTTTATTCGATTCTAAATGCAGTGCCTCGGACCGCCGGACCAACGGATATCGCGAAATGGGACAATTACGTTTATTCCCGTTCGATAACCCACATCGCGGAGCAGTCTGACGCATGAATAAATAAATTCTTGCAGAAAATCTGGAATGTCTCGCACGAAAACCAGCAGACCGTACGAATTAACACTTGCATGGCGGAGTACCCGTCTGTCTAGGGCAGTGGTTCTTAACCAACCCACCGTCGAAAAACGATAAAATTCCCTTGCAAATTTCAGCGCAAATTTGAGACTCGATCCCCAATTCTTGTCCCCAAAATTGACTCCGTTTACCACGATCCATCCTTGTATCGATAAAGCGAGCCTCGACATGAGGAGAGCCAGAATTTTAATCTCTGAATAACGTTCCTCGATCGTTCCAATTTCTCTTCGATTTGATCGACGATTTTTGCCAAGATTCTTGGGAAAGAACCAGAACCACTGGTTCTGGAAGGAAGGAAGAGCACATTACAACCTCCTCCTTCCTCTCTCCTTGTCGACATTCCGATTAAATTCGGTTTCACCGCGACGTTCCATCTTTATCGATTTAGAAACGAATCCAAATTTGTAACTCGGCTCGATATTTATCCTGCAGGATGTCTGCCGGATCCGCAGCTTTATTCGCTCGGTAATAATTGATGCCGTTCATTGGATAACGCAATTAACGGTGTATTATTGATGGAAGCGGCCGAGCGAAACGCGGCCCGTCGCTCTGTATTGTAAATTACCATTCGATAAATGCTTCGAGATTGCGACATGAAATATTGCGACACGCGAGATTGCGGTGGAAAGTAGCCGCGCTTCCAACTTCGATCGGGTGTGTATGCGCCCATGGGGGTCTACGTTAATATGCATGCGTGCGTGTAAATGGATGGGGATGGATGCGTTCGTGTTACGTGGAGATAGGGTTAACGGGCTACGGCTAGACGAAATTGTCCAATTGCTTTTCGTTTCGCCGTAATTTTTCCCCCTTTCTTCTTGAAGGAAGGAAGGAAGGATGGATATTATTTCAAGTTTGGATCTCTGTACTGTTCACTGGTGGAAAGGAACCATTCAGGTATTGAATGACGATTAGTTGAACACTTCGATGGGTTAGATAGAGAATTCAGAGTGTTTTAAAATTTTCTTTATTTCTCGTAACTCGATAATTTAATTTATAAATGTAACTTCTATGTGAATAAGCTAGATTATCCTAACGTAACTTCATAAATGAAAATAATTTTGAATATGATTCAAATTATAGCTTTTCTATTACTATGTAGTGTGGAAATCTTAACGTATACTTTATAAATGAAAGTAATTTTTACAAAAATTTTCAAAAAATTCAGATTATAATTCTTCTACAAACTCAACAAAGCGTGTAAAGTGACGGTCCTAGAGAAGAATCCTTCTTGCGCTTATTTAACAACAGTGAACAGAATTAGAAATATTTATATTTGTACATTTACATTAATTTATAATCTATAATTCGTAACAATAATGTAATTTGTATTCGTTGAGATAATAATAATTGTATGAATACGAATAATCTAGATATCATCAGAATAGATACAGGTTCATTTAAATATTTCAGTAACTTTATAATTTTTACGATTTTCAATATTCAAAATTAGCTCTTCCACAAAGATTATCCAATATCAATAAAGTATCCTTGTTGTGCTTCTTTTAAAAACGGTAGTAATGAATTACTCGAATTACTCGAAATTTAATCAGTATCTATTAGGCATAGAATTCAAAGTATTCTAAAATTGTTTATATACAAATAATCCAGACATCATCATAGATATATAATTTCATTTAAATATTTCAACTTCCAGTAACTATATAATTTTTACGATTTTCAATATTCAAAATTAGCTCTTCCACTGCTATCTAATGTCAACAAACCGTCCATCCAACACCCTTCTTGTGCTTCTTTTCAGCAATAGTAGTGTATTATTCGAATTACTAAAAATTTGTTCGATCAGTATCTATGCATTAGGCATAGAATTCAGAGTATTCTAAAATTTTCTTTATTTCTCGTAATATGTATAGGCTAATTATAATAACAGCAATTTATAATTGTTGTACTCCATGTATGGTTAAGATAATAATTGAACGTATACGAATAATCCAGACGTCATCACAGATATATAATTTCATTTAAATATTTCAACTTCCAGTGGCTTGTTTTCGAGCAGTGGAACAGTATAGGATACTGTTTGAATCGGTCGGAGATTTTTTAATCGTAGAATTTCCGCGAACGAAACGCGGATTCGCGAAACGAATGTCGCTCGACGACTCGAAAGCGTTTTGTCACCTGCTTGCTCGATGATATATGCTACATTTGCGGGAACAACGTAAGCGACGCGTGGCTCTTTTTACGGCGCTCAAACTATCCCGGCGCCACCTCATCGTACATCTAAATAATCAATTTACCACTGGCCATAATCGTAACCACGAGTTAGCGAGTTTACGTCAGCCAAGCCACCGTAACTGCGCGAACCATAAATATTACGGAGCATTTCGTATAAAGGCAACCGAGTTATACTCCCTTTCCCTTCGCTCCCAACTTTGTTTCTTCTCTTTAATTGCACCTCGAGCGCGAACACCTCGCGTTTTTCGACGAGAGCGTGGAGTTGGACACGATTTGGATAAGAACGATTCAAGTGGGTGTTATACTCACGTTATGCCTCGGTGACCAGGAATTGCACATAATGGAGGCGTCTTCCAATATACGACTCTGGAAAACGAAAAAGAAGTGTCGATTTTTAAACGTTCCATTTTCGAAACATATATATATATAATATTTTTGTTTCCTTCTTCTTCTATAAATCTTTCGTATTAAAAGTAATTGTTACGATAATTATCAAATGTGTGCGATTAATGTATCTACGAAATATATATATATATATATATAGGATTCAAGAAGAGATATATATATATATTTAAACGTATTCGTGGATCCTCGCGATCCAAATGTCATTGACTCCTAGAAATAGGTGTCGACCGCTTAGAAATCCAGCCGAGAATGGAAAACTGGAAAGATTTTACAACGTGACGCTTTGACCCCAATAGTCTGTCTAGACTAGACACTTTTAAATATTAAATACTTTCGGAAGGGAACTTTTATATTCACAGAGATCTTTCACCGTCGTATTTCGTTTCTAATAAAGATATATCGCTGAATTATCGAAAAAATTTTGTCGCGACAAACCCCTCCTCCGCGACAAAAATATCCCCGAAACACAATTTCGCCTTCCGTAACTGGAAGAACAATATATATCGATCGATGTAAATACTTTCCTCTTCCGTTCCTTTCTTCTTTCTCTCCCTTAAAGTTTCGAGACTCGTCTTTTTCTTTTTCTAAAAAGGGAACAAACGATGGCAAATTTTAACCGTCGATCCTTACCGACACACGAAATTATCAACGAATATTCGGATTGATTAAAGGAAAAAATATTTGGAAAGAATATTTTTCTCGCCATTGGCCTCCTCCCACTCCCGTTGATAACCGACGAGGGCGTCGGCGAAATATTTCTCCCGGCCTGACAGAGAAATTCGTGCATATCGACGCGGTTTACCTGTCAGCGGGGGTTAATATTCATCTGGCCTGCATATTTTATTCCTGGCAATCGCGTAACATGTATATTTAAAGCGGGCGGCACTAAGATTGACAGAATCGGGGCATGCCGGCGTCGCGACGCCGGCGTCACAAATTAAACGAGTCATTTTAGGAACGGTGCAGAATTAGGTAATTCAATATCGTTCTCATTAAACCGTCGGCCAATTTTGAAAGCTCGATCGATAGGGCCGATGACAATGATTCGCGTCATTATTAGAAGTCGCGACCGGTATGAATACTTCACGACTCCATCCCGTACCGACTTTACTTTTCCTTATCCTCTCGCACATTCCCCCGTAATAATCGTCTGCGTTTAATATTCCACCCCCATCTTATTGCCGAGCTTATCGTCCCTCGAAATCACGCGGTTTTGAAATCTTCGTATCGATCGATCGCTGGCACCGCGAGTTTTCCAGCTTCAAGAATCGATGAGACCGATTCAGAACTATCTTCCTTTGCTCTTCTTTTGTTTACGACGCAACGCGAGCACAATGCGTTATTCACGGATTAACGGGAGGATCAAAGAAGCCCGGTTTACTACTCGTGCCGCGTTCCTATGGAATAATCATACGTTCGTTCATTATTCCACGGTTTATATCCGAAACATTGTTTAATACATTCGGTTGTATTTCGGAATGGAAAATTGCGGCGAATTATTCAACGGTTCGGAGGGGGAGGAACAATGGACGCCGTCGTTAGATGTTTACAACGAAGCTGTTGCGGTCGAGGGAGGGGAAAAAATTCGCGGGAAAATTTTCGAGGGAAACTCGGTTGTGCAAACTCGCGCCACGCGTGAATTCGCGTGTCTCTCTGTACAACAACCGTCCCTTCGCGGGGGACGGTTGTTATACGTCATCAATCAACGCGGCGTGCATTGTGCGCGCATCTCGTATGCTTCGCTTCGAGCTGTGCCACAGCGCAAATACCAAGCTCGGACAACACCGATGACACGCAATACCTGCACGCGTATTTCTCGTTCGTATCGATCGATTCGTTCGATCCGAACTCCTCTTGGAATCTTTCGAAAAAAGAAGCTGAATTTCTCCTCGTCCAATCTATGTATATATATATACAAAAACAGGAAACTCTTTTCACCCGCTCTTCTATGGAAAACTTACATACGAGGGGCGAAGAGGGGAGGAGAAAAAGGAGAAAAGAAAAACTTTCATCCATCGTTTATCCACGTACTCGTTATTACGAGTATTTCAATCTCCCGTAGAATTTCGAATTCTCGTTCCCGTATGTACATAGGTTACAAGGACGCGTCTGTGTCTGTGCAGCGGGCTGCGCCGGTCGCAAACATAAAGCAGGGAAGAGGGGGGCCAGTGTGCGCGGGCGCGCCACGTGAAAACAGGGGGATATATATACACGCATATGTATGCATGTATATGCATCCGAGATACACGAAACACATTGGACGACTCTCTGGCGCGGGCAAACAGCCGCAGTCGAAACAGTTTGCCCGGCTAATTGATTTTCCTTGGCATCCTCGATTCGGCGTCCACGCAACCCGCTGCGTGCACCCTCCTCCTCCGCGATGGAGGAGACAAGCGTGTGATCGAGCATCGACCGATCTACCCATTGGATAGAATACACCCGGTTTGATTATCCAGGATGCGCCAGAAGGATCGAGCGCAAAATCGAAGGATGGACGATCGATCGATCGCTCGATCTTGGGGATTTACGGGAGATTGGCGGTGCTCGTTGGATTATGGATAGGCGGGGGGATTCGTGGAGGATTCGAGAATGAAATTAATCGGGTAAATGAGAGGTCGAGATGGGAATGGGGGGTTGCGGTGGACTGGGACGAGATAATTTTGAAATTGGGATAACTCGTCGAAAAAATAATTTTTCCGCTGGATGGAAGAGTTGAGGGGAGAGGGGAGAGGAGAACGATAAAGTTTTTCATCCGAAGGAGGAGGAGGAGGAGGAGAAGAGAGCTGCTTCTTCTTCTTCTTCTTCTTCTTCTTCTTCTTCGCGAAAGTTTGACTGATAATTAACTAAATTTACCAAGGGTTGCGAGTCAAAGTGTGAAGTCGTGTTCCAAGTCTTTCCGCACTTCGACGCTCCGCTACCGTTGGTTAATAACAAATGAGCCGAGCTTCGCCCCTTCACTTTTGTTATAATCGGGGACACTTGCTCCCTTACAGTTACCGTCTACCATTTTCTATTATTCAACGGATTCGTTTGAACCGTTCTAAACATTCGCTCGGATGTTACTTTTTTTTTTCCCCTCCGCTTCCTCGATCTCTCGATACCTTCGTTCCTTCGTTTCTTGAATCCGTCACGTTACGGATCCCTCGACTCGATGATCGAGAAGACACGGGTCGAGAATCGAGACGGAATCGCGAGAGCCGTGAGAGTTTACGTTCACGCGAATGATTATTATTTCAAGCGAAAAACACGGAGATCTTGACGGGGGGGAAGGGGAGCGCGAAGAAACACCGTCTAAAGGGCCGTCTAAAGAGAATTTATGAAATTTCGTAATGCAGTATTCCGATTCGTAGACGAGCTTCTCTCCTCGCTCAGCCGAGTCAACTCTTTACCTTAGCCGATTTTTTGCTTTTAATTCGGAATACGATTAAGTTATCAGAGAAACATCGTTTCCCTCCTTGGAAAACGCATCGCTCTAATTCCGAGAATTTCCATCAGCGACGCCGTCTCATCGTCTCTTCTTGATCTTCTATCGATAGTACGATCTTGCAAAATATGGGAGAAGAATAAAAGAGGGGGAAGAAGGAAAATATCATTGAAAATTGTGCGTAAATATTCCACGAAAGTAAGTATAGAATCGTAGTTACCCTCGATCTATATCTCCCTCGTATTGTACATCTTCTAAATAAAACTAAATCTCGAAGGATCGATTTTCCTTTCCTGTTCGAAAGGGTGAAGGCGGATCGAGTTCACCTTTCCCACGATTTGTCATTGAACGGTTTATCTTTTCCTTTCCCCCGTGCATGATTTAATAATAACCGTTCGCTAATTCGATGGTCAATAATAGCGCAAGTGTATACCGGGATTATCGTTCGAATCGATATAAAGAAAAAAGAAGAGAGATCAGTGTTGTTGTTGCAATATCGTAATTGTTATCCATCACGTGACGCACGAAATCTAACGTAACGTTAGAATCGTTGCATTTCTACAACCCGGCCGGCTCCTCGTTTTATCTTGTTACAAACATCGCGAAATACAGACGGCTCGATCATCGAAAATCTCGTTGTCGATCAACGGTAGACGCGCCAGAAGAAATTTCGAGTATTCCAAAGAATATTTTCGAATAACGAACAGCGTGAATACCCCGTGGAATTCGTATAAAATTTCGATCGACAACTTCCAATCGACTTCCATCCCACCAAGATGAAGATGAAAATTAAGATACAATCGGGGCGAGAATATACGCGAGACGTGGAAAAATTCTTATTGGAGGGGGTGCTCGGCGGCATGATCCGTAAATCATGGATGATTCGCTTTATGGTATTTACAGTTAAGCCAAAATTGCCGGTTGCCAAGCGTAAAAATCAGTGATTTCGTTACCACTATGTATCGAGGGATAGACACGCTCATTGGCTACGTGCTGTTCCGCCCCCGCGGCCCCGCCAATCAGACCAGCCGCTCTCTCTCATCGATCCAGACCATCTACACTATACTCGAGCCGCCATGCTCAACTTGCCCATTCCCCTATCCTTCCTCCACCGTATACAGATCCGGGCTAAGACTCGGCGAAACAAAACTCTATCGCATCGTGCAAATCGTCGATCGGTTGCAGGGGATTCTGTTCTCTTGTCACACGTCACGAGACAAGTCTTGTTGATGAAGGATGGAAATTTCGTTCGAGGTGATCGTCTGGAGAAAGAGATCCTCCGTTGGGTTTGGCTGGTTGGATTTTCCCGATCGAATTCGATCGAAGGCCGTTAATTCGAGGATATTATAATAATTGTTTCGATTGTAATTGAGGCAAGGGGTGAGAATACAAACGTCGTAGCTATTTGTATTTGTCGGAGGAAAGTTTTCTTTACTTTTTTTACTCTCGTAAGATGTAAGGGGAAAGATGTGATCAACAGAATGGGCAGGAATCGTTGACCTGTACTACTCGATCGGCCCCCCGTTGAAAGTAGTTT